ATCGCGTCCCTTAGATGCGGAGTTGAAACACCTCCGAGCAACGGCTAGGTCTCCTTGGATAGTAGCTACCCGTGCCCTTTTGGTGTAGAATTTCATCTTCAGGTGGACGGTCGAGGGCACCGCTGTCAGTTCTGCCAGTGTTGGTCTCCCCAGGATGCAGTTGTACAGAGACGGGCAGTCGATGACGAGGAAGCGTACTTTGACTTGTCTTGTAGGCGTTCCTTCACCGAACGTAACCAGGAGCTCGACATATCCCCAAGGTTTGGAGGTCGAGCCGTTAAAACCTTGTAAGTCCGACCCTACATATGGCGAGAGATGTGAGTCGTCCAGTTGTAGAGTTCAGAACAGTTGACTGTACATCACGTCGATGGAACTTCCTTCGTCGACGAGGATGCGATGCACATCAAAGTTGGCCATTCTCGCTCTTATCAGTAAGGGGATGACCGCGTTCAGGGCTCCGCCGGGGAGCTCTTCCAGGTAGAAGGTGATGGGTTATGACCTTCCCTTCACCCTTTTGAACGTCACTGTTTACGGGGGCGCCGCGTCGACCAGCTCATCCAGCTTCCTCTTAGCCGAATTAATGGTTAAGTCGTTGAATCCGCCGCCGTTAATGACCATGGCGGAGGGGAAATATTCCCACCTGCTGTGCGTTGTGAGCGGTTCCTGCAGGTGTTCGGGGATGTCGAAGTCCTCGGGCCTGGTCACGGAGAAGGCGGTCTGGATGGGGACCGACTCGTCAGATGGTCGGGCATCTTCCTCGGGCTCCCTTGTCTCCTGGGCGTCACGACGGGGAGCGTCGCTTCGCCGGTATTGTGCGAGCCTCCCTCCCTTGATGAGGGTTTCGATGGCGTCCTTGAGGTGGACGCAATCCTCAGTCAGATGACCATGGCTCCTATGGTACTGACAATATTTGTTCTTGTCTGCTCCGGGCTTTGGCGGGAGCAGGTCGGGGACGTTTGACACCATCGTCCTTGAAATCAGTGCTGGCACACTCCGCCAGAATGCGCTCGCGAGAAGCTGTGAGTGGAGTGTACTCGGTAAATCGCCCCGAGGGTCCCCTTTATTCTCGGACTTCCCGGGGTCTGTCTTCTTTTCTTTTTTCCCCGGTTCGTCGAGGAGGAAGAGCTTCCTGGCGCGAGTTGCTGTTGGACCCGCGAGTCCTGGGGTCTCAGGCCCTGTTGGCCGCTTCCCTCTCCTCGTAGTCCATGTATGCCCGAGCTTTTTCGAGGAGGGCGTCGAATGTCCTGGGTGGCTCGATGCCTACGGCTTTTCTGAATTCCGTGCCAGGGAGGAGCCCCCTCTCCAGCAGATATCTCTTCATATGGTCTGCGCAGGGGACCTGTATAGCTTCCCTGTTGAAGCGATTGATGAACTCCCTCAAGGTTTCATCCTGTCTTTGGATGATGGCCTCGAGAGCCGCCTCGGTCTTTGGATGCCGCCGAGAGGCTGTGAATGAACTGATGAACTGGTTTTTCAAGTTTCGCCACGAGGTGATTGAGCCCGGGGCGAGTCCTTTGTACCAGTCCATTGCCGCCTTCCTGAGAGTCGTGGGGAATAGTCGGCATTTGATGGGCCCCCCGACATTGTGGTAATGCAGCATAGCCTCGAACCCGTCTATGTGGTCGACCGGGTCCGCGACTCCATCGTACTCCTTCAAGTGCGGGGGTTTCTCCATGCCCGGGGGGATGGGAGCTTCCATGATAGCTTGCGACAGGGTACCGCGGGGGTCGTCCTCGTCGCTCCTCTCCAGAGACAGAGATGGGGACCCGTAATACTGTCGGGCACGACGGTCCTGGTCGCGCTGGGCCTCTCTCGAGCGTGGTGCTCGTTGGTTGATTCTTACACGCCCGTCTCCGGAGTGTCTTCTTTCCTGTCTCGCCGGGTCGCGACCACGTCCTCCGGCCTGGATGATGGGCTGCCTCTCCAAAGGGGGCCGTTTCCCTGATGGGCGGGGTGACGGGCTTCGAGAGGTATCTCTGTAGTGTCTCCGTGGGGGAGACGGGAGTTGGACTTCAGTCACTCGAGGAGGTGGAGTCTGGGGCCTCCGATGCCTCCTCGAGGGTCTTCGATCGTCTTCAAGTGCCCTCAGTCTTTCGCCTTGGACGAAGATGAGGTAATTTGTTTGATTGATCGCTGCGAACAGCGCTTGAGTTGTGGCGTCCGCCCTGGCGGGGACGGGGACTTCCTAAAATTGGGCAGCCCGGTAGTTCGCGAGAACTGCATCGTCCTCTTCGAGTGGCGGAGGGACCGAGGAAGACGACGCAGTAGCTTCGTCGCGGTAGGCTGAAGGTCCGGGGGCAGTTGACGCGGGGACGGTGTTGTGACCGGGGTTGCCGGTGTTGTCAAGGTGTCCGTTTTTGTCCGCGGGGCCGTTATTGGTGTCGACGACGCGGACGTTTTGTTCATCGCGAGCTTGGTCAGCCATGACAGTGGTAGTTGAGTTGAGCTTTGGTCTTTGAGTTTTGCAAGACGGGGAAGCTAGTTTCTTATAGACGGCGCCACTGTTCTTACCGGATCAGACTTGGACCGTCACGACTGGCTCCGAGCTGAAGTTTGAACGAGATAGGGGGGTACCTGCAAGGCACTCCGATGCTGAAGTAAGTGAGAGTACGAGCAGGAAAAAGTTTGAGTATGGGTAAAAGAATGAATACCTGACCCTCTGGGAACAGAGGGTATTTATAGCCCCCAGCGCTGGGCCAAGGTTCCTTCATTGGGCCGGGCAGGTTTGGCCCAATGGAGGAACTGCCAGGTTCTACGTGTGTAGTGGGGACCCGCACGTGGTCTCCTTCTTGGATGTTCTGTGTGAAGTACGGACGGACGAGGACGCGGTCTTTTCGGGATCCAGGTGATGGTGTAGTGGACAGAGTCTGCCCTAGGAGGAGTGCTCGAGCTAAGGTCGAGCAGGATAGCATGAAGTCGAGGATGTCGCACTAGCATAGAGTGTCGGGCACGGCTGTGGCCCCTTGGTCGGCGTGACTCCTTGCAAGACCGTTTGGATTGGGCCTTCACCATTGCTTTTGGGCCAGCCCGACCCAGTCCATAATAGTTTCTATGTAAGATTGTTCTAAACAGTCGTTTATATTATAGCGTCCTACTAGATTTCACTCCCAAAGATATATTCAAGTGCCAACAAGTAGAGCCACCAATGTTACATGAATCAGAGTGGAGGTATATTTTCACAAAGAGATATTCAGTTTTGATTACAATAGTGATGATACTTGATAAAACAATTTAAGGGATATATCCTGATATATATTTGTATTTTCTTTCCATGTGTAGTGTCCTCGCCAGCGTAAGGTATAGATTGCGGCTATTTCATGTTGAGATTTATGAAAGAAACTATTCTTTTGGATCGATTAGAGATTCCATCCACGGTATGGATTTCTAACTTAGGAATTACATATTATTTTCATATTTTGTGTTTCTCATAAAATGACATATTGTTTTAACTAAATCACATACTATGTTATATGATTATATATGTAGTACTTTGAAGAATTCAATTGTGAACATTACTCAAAAGATCAATTGGATGAACTTAAGAAGGAATGGTGTCAATTCATTATCAGGTTGAGAATTTTATAAGCTAAGGTATATTGTCTTATTTCCTTTGATGAGAACTATCGAGTTTTGAGTATAAAATAAATTCGAATAAAGTGCAACATTAATATTATCATGTAATGAATTTCGATCATTTGTTTTTTTCCCCAGATTTATAGGTGCATGTGTAGAAGATAGAGCTAAGACATTCATGTTGTTGTTGTTTTATGAGAATTCTCGAAGATAGTAAGATGTAGATGTAACATCAATTTTGAATTTTAGGATTTTCAACTTGTAGAATTTTAACTTGTATCATAAATTTTGTAGTTGTTGTTGTATATATCATCAATTTATATATATGTGAAATTTTTACATATGCATATTTTATTGGAATGAAGCTACCAAATATGGTGAAAACCTGGTTCAAATATGGTTAAAATCTGATTAAAATGCATTATATATATTGGACAGCGCTTTTGTAAGTTAAAATAGGTATTTTATTAAAAAAAATTGTGATCAATAGACAGCGCTTTAAGAGAAAAGCGATTTAAAAAGTCAAAAAAGCACTGCCTAAAGTGGAAAGCACTGTCTAAAGTGGGAGAATAGACAGCGCTTTAAAAAAAACTATCTAAAATCTAATTTAAAAAATAACATAAAGCGTTGTCTAAAGAGGTATATAAAAAAGCGTTGTCTATTTTAAAAGCACCGTCTAAAGGAGGTGCTTAAGAAAGCGCTGTCTAAAGTGGACATAAAACAGCGCTTTTACATTAAAAAAAGCGCTGTCTTTACTTTTAGCAGCGCTAATGTAGACAGCGCTTTTAAGCACCGTTAAATATATAAAAAAAAAATACTGTCTAATATCTTATTTGAGATAGTGGTGTTTGATCTCATATTGTGTGTTTATTAAGATTATACATAAAAAAAGTTGTTAATTACGTATATAACTAAAATAAAATACGTTTTCAAAATATAAAATTATCCGTAAAATATTATTAATATATAGTAGAAGTTCGATTAAATGATCAGTTAATAATATCGTGGCTGATATGGGTAAATAAGGGTATTTTAGGCAAACAAAACAACTAATATATATTTCATATTAAAAAATAAAAATAAAAAAAATTAAAAAATATTCTAAACATAATCTATAAATTAATACGAGACAGAAAAAATAAATCATATCCATAACAAAGTTTACAATTTTGTCATTCATTCACATGTTGCATTATTGATTAATAGTTTTATTGTTATTTATTAATTATGAATTAGTCTTTAACTTAAGCAAGGATATTAAACGTGATTGAGAAATTTTAGAGTAGTGTGTTGGGTGGAAAGCGTTGAAAGAGCACCCACGTTCGTTTCTCTTCACCACCATCTCACATCCATTAATATATCACTCACCTTCACTCTCCAGAAATCACCATAGAGCTACCACAAACGGTTCCACATTCCAAAACCCTATGACTACTTCCTTACTTTTCTTCTTCTTTCTACTCTCCACCATCTCTGTCACAACCACAGGTTTTCTTCTATCTACTCTTTGTTTTGTCATGCACATGTTGTTTTAGGGTTTTATATATATATATATATTACTATTCTTATGTTATATACTGTGTTGATATGATATATCAGGTGTTGTTACAGATGGGAATGGAACAGGAATACAACTGATAATTGTAAACAACTGCAAAGAGAGTGTATGGCCAGGAATTCTCAGCAATGGAGGACAACCTTCAATTCAAGGAGGTGGATTCCATCTTCCAAGCGGCGAACAAGTTGTTCTCCAACTCCCTAACCATTGGGCAGGTAGAATCTGGGGGAGACAAGGCTGCTGTTTCGACGAAACAACCGGAAAAGGCTCGTGTCAAACCGGAGACTGTGGAGGCCAACTGAAATGCAAGGGAACTGGTGGTGTCCCTCCAGCTACACTTGTTGAAATGACACTTGGAACCTCAGAATCACCTTTGCATTACTATGATGTTAGTTTAGTTGACGGTTTTAACCTTCCTATGTCAATGAAGCCTGTTGGTGGTGGTGGTGGTTGTGGTGATGCTTCTTGTGCAGCTGATTTGAATGGTTGTTGTCCTTCTTCACTTGTTGTGAAACATGATGGTAAAGTTGTAGGGTGTAAAAGTGCTTGTTTGGCTACAAAATCAGATAAGTATTGTTGCACTGGTGAATTTGCTGATCCAAAAAGTTGCAAGCCAACTATGTTTGCTCGTGTTTTTAAGAGTGTTTGTCCTAAAGCTTATACCTATGCTTATGATGATTCAACTGGGCTTATGTCTTGTTTGGCAAATCGGTATGCCATTACATTTTGCCCTCCATGATGTTTTGTTTTTCCAGTAGTTTTTTTTTCTTTATTCTTCTGATATGTCTTTGTGACAATTTTAAGTCTTGTTTTAGCAATTTTAAGGTTAGTGATTGATTCAAAAGAAATGAAATTTTTAGGTTAGTGATTTGTAGGGCTATGTCGTCTGGAATTTTGAGTTTGTTATGTAAGATGTTCAATTATTTAAATGGTTGATTGAGCACTTAGCATTGATATTTATATATGTACGAGACTTCATTTTATCTTATTGTGCTAAGTTTAATAATAGCATTTTTAATGGTGCAACTCTCACCCATGATTATTTGGTTGGTCTTGTTGTGCCACATCTTCTTTAAACAGTCGATTTAGTTTTTGCTTAAATGGTGCAATTTTGAAAAAAAAACTCATATTTGACTCCACGATAATTTTTCTAATAAGCAAGAGGTGATTGTAAGCACAAGGGACTCAACTCAAGACAAACAAGTTAAACAAACAATCTAAGAAAAGGAAAGAAAAAAAACACAAAGAGGGTGTTTGAATGATGGATTTAAATAGGATTTTTAGAAATGTGAGGTTGAGAATCTCATATTCACAATGTTTGTTTGAAGTTTTAAGAAATTAGTTTTAGATACTTTATATTTCTTAAAATAAAATTTACTCATACAACTTTAAAGATTTATTTCCATGTTAATGAGTGAGAATCTTACATTCTTATGAGAATAAAAACTTATAGCTACTCACTTATATATTACTTTAATATTTTCGTATTTATTTTTAAAATTCTGAAATTATAAATAAAATAAAATTTTAAAATATTTCTAGGAATCTGAATAACTTGACAAACAAATTGATGAGAACTATTTTCTCAACAATAACATTCATGGGATTGTAAATTTAATCCATCAAACAAACACACCCTAAAGAAAACAAGCTAGAGGATTTGAATACCAATCCAACCAACAAGAGTTGACATGCCCTTTGAACTAGGGGTGGCAAATGAGTTCGGCCCGTTAGACAAGCCTATTTTGCCCGAACTTTAGTGCGGGGCGGGTCAAAAATTTAGCATGCATCCTCTAATGTGATCGCTTTGTCATGTCCCATTTTTATGCGTCTTTTTCAAGCACGAACATTTACATGAATTTTTATATTTTTAGGTTTAAAAGAGGCAGTGCACGCGTGCTCTCTTCGCCCCACCCTCACTTTTAGTGCAGAGCGAGTCAAGGTTTTAGGCTCGCACCCTCAAGTATGTCCGCCCCTTCTAGCCCCATTTTTTATGCGGGCTTTTGCAGGCATGAACATTTACTTGAAATTTTGTATTTTTAGGCTTAAAAGATGCAGTGCACATGGGCCCTCCCCGTCCCGCCCTCACTTTTAGTGCAGGGCGAGTCAAAGTTTTAGACCCGCATTCTCAAGTATGTCGGCCCCTCTCTGCCCCGTTTTTTTTGCGAGCTTTTGCAGAGTGGGTCTAAACTGGGTGGATATACCCGTTTGCCACCCCTACTTTAAACCTAGCCAAAAACCAATCCTAAGAAAGAGATTTTATTGAAGTCACAAATTAGTCTCACCTTTATGCCCTCCATTGAAAAGAGTTTCGTTTATGATTAGCCAAATATACCAGGTCACGGAGAGCCAAAACATAAGTCGACGATTCTTGCTAAGCATACCTTTCAAGAGATTCTTGAAATCCCTCAAATGGTCCATCATTGAGGCACAAGTCGACATCCTAGGAAAACCAAGCCAAGACAAAATGCTTTCCACACAAGGGAGGCAACATGACAACAAAGAAATAGATGAAGAAGAGTTTCTGCAAGGCCTAAACTAAAGGGACACACTAGATTATGAGGACCTGATAAAACCTCGTGCTTTGCCAACTCATCCATGGTTGGGAATCTAGAAAGAAGTAGTTTCCAAGAAAAAACCTGAATGTTTCTAGGAACATTTGTCTTCCAAAAACCTTTCAAATCAAGTCGCAAGAAAGAATCCAAGGGAGATCGAGCATAGGAAATAAATTCCAAGTAGGAGAAAGAAAATTTGACAGAGAAACATGATACGTTGCGCCACCATACGAGTAAGCTTTATTGAGCCTAGGTTGAGCCTCAAACAGGAGGGTTTGAAGGACATCCCACTCAATTTTACAATTCTCTGAAAGTTGGCTGTGTGAAATCCCTAAGACTTAGGTCCAACTACCATTTTCCCACCGCCCCAAATCACCAACTTTGGACCTAAGATGCTGCATAAAATTAAAAGGGTTAAATATGTTTGACATCCTCAAAAATATTTCAATTTCCATTTTTAGCCCCTCTAAATATTTCCTTCAAACAATCGTCCTCTTAAATTTTTCCGTCCATAAAATTGGCCCCTCCCATTAAAATGACTTACCGGTTGCATACATGGATGACCAAATGAGATATTTTGTGACATGTGGCATCATTTTTTATTTAAATAGTTATTTTATTAATGAAATCTGAAAAAACCCTAATTTTTTGTATCTTTTTCTTCTACTTCTTCACCGCAGCTGTGAGCAACCGTCTAATGTCCTTCTTCACTGCAAGTCGTTTCGAAATCCTGCTCCAATGTCATCTTTCTCAAGGTGCAGCAAATCAGTGTTTGACGATGAAAACTAATCTAGATGGGGGTGAATAGATCCTCAAAGTAAAAAAAAGAACACCTTTTTAAAATTTTGTCTTGAAAACTAATGAAAAACTATGGCAATCAAATATTTTTGCCTAAATCAAACAAGTTGTCTAAACTGAACATGCTATTGGAAACTCGGATATGCTTAGAAACCAAATGCAATGCTAAACAATGATAAGCAGTTAATACAATAGATTCTTAATTAATCATTTTATTGTGAACACAATGTAAACTTATTTCTAATGAAATTATTGATAAAACGCAAACTAGCAAATTATCGAACACTTGGTGTGCAATCAATTTTTCAAAAATTCCTTTGAACTTTGTTGATATGAAATATCACTTACGATCTAATTGATTGTAATGTAATCAACAAAGCAATTTCAACTATAGCTATCAAAGGATTTGTATATACGTATCGATTACACAATCAATGAGTTTAACAATTTTCTATAGAAAGTATATAGAAGTAAATTAGAGAGATAGAGGATACATAGATTTGTTTAGGGAGTTCACTAATCCTCCTTGTTATGGCTATGTCTGCCCCCAATTCCGTTTGGAATTGAGATATCAAATTCTTAATTTGCAAAAATTTGATTACAAGAGAAATGTAGCAACATCAAAAAGAGAAAAATCAAGCCATGAGAAGTATCATTTATCACACAGATACTAATATAACGCATAGAGGCATTTTGCAAAAGTAAGAACGTGCACTCACATATACCCATATACATGGAGTGACACAAAATTAATAATAAATAACATGCAATACTCATTACCATAATGACAAATACAAAAGAATGAAATATAATAGATGCAATGTAAGGGCAAACTCTTGAGTCGCTTAAAAAACTTAACAATTATACAATCATTCACAATGGTGCTCCCGGTGCTACACACGCATGTGCCTAGCTTGGCAAAAAATATATCCCCATTAAAACCAAAACCAAAGATGCTCTCATAACATGTGATATGACTTGATTAAGAATTGCATTTTCACGATAACATGCACAAATTAATTCATGTGCGAATGAATAGATAACAAGCTTACATGAAATACAAGATATAAAAATAGAAAACATGCTTGTACACCAAGAACATATACTTAAAATGAGAAAGAATCAATATCATGAAGTCACTAAAAGCATATAAATTGAAAACACACCATGGTTTTCAATTGAAATTTATAAAAGTGAACATTCACGAAATATTCATATATTAAGCATATCAAACATTTGTAACATAAACAACATTGCATTGAAAAAGGCTTACTTTCAAGAAAAAATGGAACAAAATCACCTCATAGATGAATGGAACGAAGGATGCACTCGCATAGTATGAAACTCTTAAATGAAAGTTAGAGAAAATTGTTGTACCCCAAAAATTTTCCCTCTCATGTTTTTCAAGGTCGTCCCCTACATGATTGACCACAAACCCTTGCCTAAGAAAAAAAGAAATTTTTTAAGTGGTGTTTTAAGTAGCTTTCGATGGGCATTCTGAAAGACCCTTCGATTGGTATTATGAAGGAGCCTTTTGATTGGCATGAACAATGCTCTTCGATTAGCATTGTGTCAAGCCTTTCAATTGACATTCCAAATGCTTCGATTGGCATTATGGCCAAGCCCTTCGATTGGAATGGATACAACGCCTTTCGATTGGCCTCATGACAAGCCTTTAGATTGGAATTATGTCAAGGACTTCGATTGGCATTCTGAAATACCCTTTCGTTTGGCACCCTGGGTCAAGCCTTTCGATTGGCATGGCAAGGGATCCTTCGATTTGGCATTGTGTCAAGGCAGCTTCGACATGCATGTTAACCGTGTCCTTCGATTGGCATGGGCAAGATCTTTCGATTGGCGTAGCAAAGGAATCTTCAATTGACATTTCAATAAATACCCTTCAATTGGTATTTGGACAAGTGACATTTGAAGGAACTGAATCAGAACCATTCGAAGGAAATGAATCAGAGTCATTCGAAGGAGCTCCATCATAACTGTTCGAAGGAGCTGAATCAAGGCCATTCGAAGGAGGCCATCAGCCTATTTGAAATAACAATTTTTAGTGCATTTTAATGCCTTGAAGGCACCCCAGCATCGCTCGGCAACCAAGGAGCGACGATTGACAGTAAACAGAAAATTCCAGCACTATTTTGGCCATAACATGAGAATCGTAACTCCGATTTATGCACGGCCGAAAGTGTTGAAAAGCTTATTCAATTATCTATATAACATTGCTTAAATATCAATGCTTGAATACCTACAAAAATAAGATAAAATCAATTAAACTCAATGATATTTACACGATAATGCAATATATACACTATAACATAAATTATACCGAATATATACTAAAGTTGAGGTTTATTGATAAAAAGTAAACGAATTA